AACACTACCTGTTCCTTAAAAAACAATTGAAATAAAAGAAAAATCTCCAAATTAAAAATCATGAAACACATGTAAATTCTCAACACAGATAAGGCAAGAATATTAATCTTGAAGGAGAAACAAATTTAGAGTTTAATTAAAGTTATAAACAGAACAAAACCACACCAAGGAATCACAGACTTCTTCCTGTCCTAGTAATATTTTAATTTAAAAATTTCCAATCCTTTCTTTTTTTTCTAACCAGATTCTAAGAAAAGGCTTCTAAGCACATTGCTGTCCACACCCTCTGCTGTGGTGTTTTCTGCCTGGTGACATGCACTGGTCTTCCAGAGAGACAGCCTTGTTACTCCACAGTGTGCTCTGTGGACCAGCAGCTTCCACACAGCCTGAGGATTCAGTGGAAATGCATACATTTGGGCCCCACTCTGGACCCCTGGAATCAGAATCTGCATTTTAACAGCCTCCCCAAAATTTTGTGTGCTCATTCCAGTCAGAAGCAGAGCCCGTTTCTTCATCATGCTCTATACACAAGAAAAGTAGGGTTTTTTTCTCCAAGAATCTGCACAGCTGACAGAATGAAGAGCCATTCAGTGACTACCTGCTGCTTCTCATACACATAAACATGAAATAAGAGCCTCATCCTGGGACAGTTTCCATGTGAATCTACATGAAGGACTATCTCCAGGACACTCTGGCCATCAGTGTATTAACATGAAACTTAAAATCTTCAGGATGTTTCTAAGCTACTGTCCTTTTCCCTAGAACCTTAACAGTACAGAGAATCCAGGAGCACCTGACTAGGCTGCCTTGCTAAATTTCCCAAAAGTGAAAAAACTGCAGCAGTAACGATCCTGAATATCCACCAACGATGCCTGTAAGGTCGGTGATCAGTCCTCTGGTTGATGTAGGCAGAATCACCACATGTGTGAGACCTATTTACTTAATTTCTCTAAAGTTTATTGTCTTCAAGAACCTTTTAAAAATCCAATTTCAAAAGAAACAAAGATTTTTTTATTGATTTTAGTCACCTTAAGAGAGATAGAATTGAACAGAGAATAGAGAATTTTCTCAACATTTCTTTTCAAGGCAAAATTATTTAATACATACATGTTTTTTAAATCTTTGAAGTCATGTAATGAGATGCAGCTGAGAATATCTTGACAACATGTGACATGGACAGGAGCTGGATAATCCTTGGTTCACAGACTACTCTGTCAATTTCATTCATTTTATTTAGGTAAAGTATCTCATTCTCTGTTTAGAATAAATACCTGCATCATCCTCCACTACCCACCACCAATTGATCAGACAAAAAACTTATTTAATTTCTCAAAGCCGCATTTTCCTCATCTTTAACATGGGTATAATTATGTCTGCCTCATAATGTTTCAGAAATTTTATAAGATAACATATGTACCTGGTACATAGTAAGCACAAAATAAAGTTAACTATGACTTTGTTGCAAAACTCTTTGATGGCAAAAAGTATGTCTGGCTCATATATATATATGTATGTATGTATAATCTTTAGAGTCTAGCCCACTGGTTTTTACATTGTAGGTCAATTAATGCATGTTTTATTCAATTGAATTGAACCCACCGTGTTGAGTCTGATTTTTTCTATGAAAGAGGCAATAACTAAGATAAAGGAACAGTGACCTCCTTTATGCATACAAGTAGAATAGAAGCCTGCTTTTCTCCCAAAACAAGTTAAACTAAGCTGCATGGTCCTACCACTGTTCTGGTGACATCTGCAAGCTGGCCTATGGCTCTGAGAAGGGCACTATTCCATAGACTCCTTCACAAGGTGAGCCTGGCTACTGGAGGCCACTCAGCTCTCCTTCCTCAACCACAGCTGACTCTGAACTGGCAGCCCACTCTCCAGCAAAGTCTCTGGAGCCTAGAGAAGATGACTCATCTTTTTTTAAGAGACAGGGTCTCCCTATGTTGCCCATGCTGGTCTCAAACTCCTGGGCTCAACAGATCCTTCCACCTTGGCCTCCTAAAGTGCTGGGATCTCAGGCATGAGCCACCATGCCCGTCCCTGAGAAGATGACTCTTTAGCATCCATATCCCTGACAATTTTCTAATGAAGAGCTACTTTTAATATTTGTGAAGTGTTCTGATCTCTGAAAGTGGAAGGGGTGGGTGAGGGGAAGATGAGAACCAAAAGGACATGTCGCTAACATGTGATAGTTAAGACAGCCAGCCAGATCCCCACAGGAAACTCAGAAAGCTGTGGAAAGAGGGTGGGACAGCTGGCAGTTCCATGTCAAGCCTCCAGAATGACCGTCTACAGTGGGATCGATCATGGAGGAGCTGGTGGAGCAGGATGAAACAGGTGGGGAGGGAAGGGAGGACAGGACCTGCTCTCCTGAAGATACTTCAGTACATAAAATACACTTGTTTAAATACAGGTATTTGCATTAAATAATCCTTTCTTGCCTTCTAGGTAAATGCCCAAGAATTAAATTAAAATGATGACTGATTTCTGTGTTTAATTTATTTTGGTAACTGGAAACAGTTAAAAAGGGTGACTGTGTTATCTGCCTGACAGCAAAACTTGGTAGAAAAAGAGACTATAAAAACCCAACCAAAAATCATGTATTCTTTCTTCCTTCTCTATCAGCAAGGGTGCCTCACTTGTGCCAGCTGTGAAAAGTACAAAAAAAGTCACTGGGAATCACCCCCAAGAACAAGGTAGCATAACAATTGTTGGGGGAGGGTGAAATAATGAAATCAAGACATCAGAGTGGAAAGACAAAATATTTTAGAGACCAGCTCCCAGGCCCGCGAGACTAGAGAGTAAGCTGATTAGATACATTAGCATATCAAAAGGAAAAAATGTTGCAGTGTCAGGGGCAGTTGGTCAGCCAAGAGGCCTAGAAAAAGGAGAATTTTCGAGGCAAATGCTAGAGGTGTTCATTCAAGCAGTTAGGGAGACACTTTGCAAGTTTCCAGCAGGAGAGAAAACTTATTTTTACCCACGTAATTTCATGCATGATAGTGCTAGTGGAATGGCCTAACTTTCTAAGAATGGCTGCAATACTGAGTTAAAAAAGAGAGGCATTGAATTATGCAGCTGATGCCAGGAAACACTGAAGCTGTCTCTCCAACTGAGCTTGCTTGGATCTACACTCCCACACCAGCTTGCCGGTAAAATCTAGCATCTCACTTGCCAGGCCATCAAGAACAGAAGGTATGGCCAGAAGACAGGCACAAGCACCTTTCTGAGTTTTGTGTGATGTAGGAAAATGGCATCCTGGCTTCATGCATGACTTAGGAAAATAGCATCCTGGCTTCAAATTCTGTGACCTGGGTTAATAGAAATGTGTGCTGGGAGACAGAAGCACTCTCTTGATTGTGCTTGTAAGGTTGAACCCAGGTAAGGGCATCAAGATAATGTCCCCAAGGCCTCTGGGAAGTGGTCGGGCCTCCCAGTCTCCACATCTGTGTGCACTCCATTCACTTTCTTTTGAAAATGTCCCATCAGTCTGGGCCACTGAGATCTGCTTATGATTATTCTCTAAGATGTTTGATTATAAATGTGTAATTTTTCTTATTCAGCATCATTATTAATCAAAGACATGCAAACTGAGAAAAAATTAGCAAAAGGAAAATTGGCCCAGGGTATAAGCAAAAAGGCATTCTCATTTGCTGCTGGTAGGCATTTGAATTGGAAACACACCAAAGTATTAAAATATGTAAACTTCTAATCCAGTGATTCTACTGCTAGGAATTTATCTTTACTTAACGAAGGATATGAATAAGAGTAGTTCACAATAGGTAAAACTTGGAAATTGTGTGAATATTCAACAGGTGAGATTGGTTAAACAAATATTTATAATGCAATAATATACTGATATCTGCAATATGTTACTGATCAAAACAGATATTAACAATGTATTTTTATTTTCTTCTTTTTGCTTAGTTACATATTCTAATTTTTCTTTCTATAAACAGGTATTATTAAATATAGCCCTGATTCTGAATCCAAGCTAAGGAGCTGCCCCTCTCTGCATACAGAAAAGAATCCAGGGGTTGAAAAGTACATGAGACAGGTACTATTCCAAGTCCTCTCTCTGAGACAGCAAAGGAGCCTTAAAGAGGTATAAATCAGTTCTCTGAGGCCACCCACCCAAGTGATGGTAGAACCAGTGATATCACTGGGCTCTCCAGATTCTTAAGCTGAGATCTATCCAGTCATTCCTGGTGCCTCCAAATTACAGCAGAACCTTGACTCTATGCTACCCAGTGTCTCAATTCAGAAAGCAGAGGTGTCCCTCTAGCTGTATGTTGAGCCAGAATACTTGAATAAAATAGTTTTTAATGATCGTTCTTCTAAGTGACCTATACACAACAGTAAGAAATCTCAACTGCAAACTGCATCTCACATGCATCGCATATTCTAGGATTCTCTGAAGCATGTCATGAGATACCAAACTTCTCTCAAGACATCTCAGAATGAATTGGTGAAGTGGGGAGGGGAGAGAGGAGGGAAAATGACAATGGAAAGAAGTTCCATTTTGTGACCCAGACTTACTGTCATTTTTTAATGTGAAAACCCCTCTACATTTAATAAGCCTCATCATTCTATGCACCAGAAAAGAATACGCTGGCCTCTCGAAAGTTGACTTGGGTCAGCCTGTAGGAAAGTTAGGTCTCTGTTCTTTTCTGTGACCGAAGTCCAATGATTCCTGACCAATTTCCAATGAGACATTTATTGAAGAATTGTAATTTACATCACTACATCCAGCCTTGAATCATCTTTCTGCAGCTGTTTCCTCCTCAAGCAACATTCATTTGGAGACTTTGGATGGGACAGGAGGACAGAGTTAATGCTTCCTTCATTACACAAGCCAAGGAAAAGCAGCAACCAGAGGGGAAAGGAATGTTCCAAGACACCCATCTCCCCAGGTCTCCGTCTTAGTGACCATTAACAGAAGCAAACCAGCACTGGGAAACACAAGCGAATCTCAAAGAGGTGAAAGTCTCACTTACGGACACACATTTCCCCACTTTCATAAAATCCAGGGCAACACTGAGACTTGCGCCTATACATAGTCTTCTCCCCATGTCGATAGGCTGTCCGATAACTTATTCTATAGAGAAGGAAAAATCACATTGTTAGTTTTTTTGACTGATAGTTTAATTAGAAATAATTTACTCCAATAAAAATGAGCTATTATGTATAATAAAGGTCTGAAAAACAAAGTATTTCAAACTAATTATGAAGAAATATGCAATGCATATCTAGACCAATATAATACTACCTCATCAGTTTGCTAAGAATATATTAAGATTCTCTATTGAAGCCAATCTGTGCTTTATTTCATGGAGTCAGTAGTTTCATGATTTCCCTCTTTCACTTAACTTGAGATATGATGAAAAGTATTGATTAATTCATATATGATACCCATCTAAGCATCATTCACTTACGTATGTTTTAAAGGAAGAATTCAGAGAATTCCCTTAAAAACCTTAGGGCAGTCCCATCCCACTATAAGACAAAAGACCTCTCCATTTAACTAAAGCACCATTTATTCACTGATTCACTTAGATAGCATGTGTTTATTGAGCACTTACTACATCCTGGGCACGGTTCTAGATATTGGGGAAAGAGCGGGGAACAAAACAATAGAAATCCCTTGCTCTCAAGGAACTTACGTTTTACTGGGGAAGGCAGATCTGGCTGAATTTGTTAAAGTAAGGACATGCACTAAAGAAATAATGAGATATATAATGGCAGGTAATGATTACATGCTGTGAAGAAAAATAAGGCCTGAGTCAGGGAATAGAATGTGACAGGAGGGAACGCTAGTTTAGACACAGGGGCCAAGGCCAGCTTGTATGAAGAAATGACACTGAGCATAGCATCATCTAGTGCAGTAAAAGTCAGCAGATGCTACACTCAATGCATAACTCATACACTATAAATGTTAGTATACTACTAATAAAATTAGGGTATCAGAGTTCCTTCTATATTAACATTAATATTTAATTATATTTTAGTTTTGTTTCTGTGTTCACATTTATGGAAAAAAGTATGTCTTGTTTTACTTAACAGTCAAATTTAAGTTGGCCTAAATTGAGTCAGATGTTCAGTTGGGAACGTATGCTCAGATATGAATTTCTTGACATCTGCTGGTGTCCATATGTAATGTCCAGATCCAGTGTCTCCCTCAGTTATGCACAACACAGAAGCTAGATGAATTCTTGTTAACAAATGATGGTAAACAGCAGACACTTTTTGTGCAGTTAGGCTGTAAGCTCCTCCAGAGCATGGACTACCTTTCTGCTTTTCTATATCCCCCGTGATTTAGCACAAAGATAAGATAGCAGCAAGCCCTCAATACCTATTCACTGAATGAAAGAATGCACTTTCTGCTGTCACCAATATCTCTGTATCAGAATCTATTCCCAGTTAGCCAAACTCATGAGTATGAGCTTCTGTTACCTGTGCCGTGTGCATTTAAACCAGTTTAGAATGTCAGTGCAGCTCGTATAGTAAATTTGATCAAACGGATGTGGGTATGACTCTTGCACAGTCACTGAATAGCTGAAAAGAAATGGAAAAATTAAAAATCAGTATTTCTCTTTTTTAAATTAATAATACACTATGTGCTAAAAAATTTGTAAGCTAAATTGTGCCCATTTGCAACTCCATAGTGACTTCTAACAGAGATTTTCCATGTTTTATGGGGTTTTATTTAAACTAGAACCCCAAAAGAGCCAATTTTAACAATATATTTAAAAGACTAGGGTTCATGGTGTAACTTTCAAAGGAAATTCTCTTTTACTATTCACTATAAACCCTAATAGTCCCAAATTTAAAAACATCACTCTCTTTTTTTCTGCATTTAATTCCACCCTCCTCTTATCCCAAGGCTCTAGGGGGTTACAAAGGTCTTTCACAGGCAGTTATCATTCTAAAGTCTGCATGAAAATAATAAGGCTACTCAGAAAGAGACAATTCAAGTAAAGTAAAACAGTACATTTTACTACTGATTCTGAAAATATCAGAAAGAACACATTTTTCTCTAGTTGGAACTTGGAATAATTTGCTTTCAGGCAGTGGAAGACTATAAAGCATACAACAACTAAATAAATACTGTCAAGTAGTCTTTAAACCTGGTTCTAAACATATGGCTGAGACAATTAGCCTAAAATAATCATACCGACAGCTTGCTGCTACTTCAATAGTCTGTTTTTCAATACATTTTCACTAACAGCTTCTGGTTAGAGTAAAAACATACAAGCCTATGAACCTAAGAATGTGGGTGGAAAACATCCATGAAATATGAAGAATACTCAATGTTCAATTCCATACTTCTTCATTTTAAACAGTCTATTGCTTGCTTTCATTCTCTGAAAGATTTTTATGAAAATTTTTAATTAACGCTAACAAACAAAATGGGTGATAATCACCAATTCACTTGCTGTAAATCAACAGCCCAAGTTTACTAATAGGAAGGAAGGAAGTTAAAATGTCAGCATGAAGAATTCAGGTTAGACAGAACCTTCTGATTTGAAAAGCTGTGAGGTGCTAGCCTCACAAACAATGGGTTTTCTTTCTGCAGCTGGTCTCTGGCAGTCATTATGTATCAGGCTTCAATAGGACAGCCATGGAGTAATCATACTACTCATAGTTTTCTGTATTTCATTCTTTGGGATATCGCAATTTATTTCTAGGTAAATTTAGGGACCTCCATAAATGTTGGGCAAATGAAACAGGCCCTATTGAAAAAAGCACTGGATTAGAAGGCAGGGTTATAATTCTGTACGGACACTGAGAAACTGGAAGATGTTTAACCTTACTTCCCTGGGTCCTTAGATCACATTTTAAAATATAAGGAGTCAGAGATGGTGTTGAAGATCCCCTCTAATTTAGCATCCTGAAGTTCTGTGCAGAACTATATATAGTTTGAGGAAAATAGGAGTATAAAATTCATTGTTTGGAGCATTTCTCCTCAATCTTGACTCTACTCATTAAAATTATTTTGACACTCAAACCCAATACAGAACTGACTGCATATAAATTATTTTGAGCTATATTAAACTATAGTTCAACTAATTTAACTATATTAAAAAATAATTCAACTAATTTAACTATATTAAAACTATAGTTAAATTAGTATATCAACTTAAGTGGAAGCTTCAGTTTCTGACCGATGATAATTTCCTGCCTAATTATTATTGTTCAGAAACTGAAGCTTCCACTTAAGCTTATAGGAGAAAGGTACTAAGCCTTTCAACACGAATTTCTTTTCTGTTGTTTCTTACCCATTATTTTTCTTTCTATACAGTTTTTCCTTCTTTTTATTAGTAAAGTTATTATAATCAAATTATGGAATTTCAAAAACACATTTTTTAAAAAGAGAGCAAGAGAGAGCATTCCATAGCTCTCACATAATCACCAATATCATGTAGCTGTGCTTCTTTAAAGTTTCCAGGAGACTTTAGTGTTTAGTTGAGGCTATTTTTAAATTCTTATAATAATCATGCCATGCACATACTTCTGAAACATTCCTTTTTTAACTTGAGTGTATCATAAGCACATTTCCATGTTAGTATGTAGTCTTCAAATTATGACTGCCAAATACTTTGTAAGTGACTACACCTGATTTGCTCAACAGCCACCAATCATTAGGAAATTAAGCTGTCACTCTTCAAGGGGCCCATTTTCTGGAAGCGATGTGTTTGAGTCATGAAGGGAAGTGTCTTCAAGAATGGGCCCACCTTCTCTGGTCTTTTTCACGCCACTTTGGCCAGTGCTTAGGCTGCTGCTGGAACTTAACTAGCTCCTCTGCTAACACTCCATACCTCCACGTTCACCAGCAGCTGCTCCTGAAGTCACAGAGCGTGAGGGCACCTCCTCTATTATCTGGTCCAACCCCACTTTCATTAACAAGAAGCACTGAGCTTCCAGATAAGGTCAGCAATAACACCAAGACATTCAGACACTGGCCTGCCCCATCCTCTCTTAAACATCACTATAGAACATTTAAAGTTTCTGAAACAGACAAGGAGTGGGAAACTGGATTTTAAAAAATCGATCCCAATTCTGCACAACTTTCAGCATTCAGAGGCAAAACTCTACTTCCTGTTTGTTTGTTTAATCGTCTCAAACATACCGAAAACATATCATTACCGTGATTTTAATCTATTAAGTATAGTCTGGGGAGAAACCCCAGCAAGATTTAATTTAAGGTCAAAGAACCGGGGAGTCGGGGAGGAGATGGAGAATAAGGAGAGGAAGCCATTATCACTTGGGCACGTTCCAAAGTGGTTAATTACATTTTACCTGCCTAAATTATCTTGTTACTTTAATCAGATATGGTAATAATCTTCATTTCTTATCTCTGCTCACTTCAGGACTGCTGATTCAATTACTCTCACTTCTGTGTTAGTAATTGAAGGTTTGGGCAATGAGTGGTTTCTCTTCACTTGTGCCTTTTTTTAGAAGAAACCCATTGAATGGAAAAGCTCAAATTTACAGAAAACAGAAAGAAAGTTAGGAGAAGAAACAGATGATTTCTAGAGATATTCATTTTCCAAAAAGACACTGTACAGAGTTCCTATAATCATGAACATCTCTTGGGTATTTTAAATTATTTTATTTTCTTTCATTTTATGTACGATTTCTTAGAATCACAATTGCTGCATTAAAACAAAGCACATCTCTATTTCAAAATAAATAATTCAGCTATCAATTGGCATGCAGCTAGAAAGCATTGATGGAAGTATTTTTGCTTAGTGCTTTTCGAACTTGAATATGTAGACAAATCTCCCTGGGATCTTTTTAAAATGCAGATTTTGATTTAGTAGGTCTGGGATGGGACCTGAGCGTCTGCATTTCTAACAAGTTCATGACTCAGCTCTGCAAACCACACAAGCCATGGGGTACAGGTGATTTTTAGCATAAGAAGAGCTTAATATGAGCCCTACTACCAGAATTATGTCTTTGGAGCTCATCCTTCTCTCCCCATTTCAGTACAAGCCCATTCCCATTTCTGAAAATAGTAGAAGAACCTGTCACCTGTGCCTTTATTTGATCATTTTAATGTATCTTCTACATCTATCTCCATTCTTACCAAAACAATTCTACTTTCTTTTACCTTTCTTCTAGGAATTATTATTTGGCCTTTCAACAGAAAATTTATCAATAAGAATATTATAACTATCAACACTTCTTCCTAGTAGTACATTTTAAAAAAATGGAAAATTTTGTCATCATTTTCCTATTTGTTCACCTTCAATTTCCTTCTCCCTTAGTGAGCATTTTAGAGTTTATGCTAATCACTTCTACAGTTGTGGGGTTCTATTAAGTTTAGAGATTAATGTGCCCCTTGTTTGTCTTTCTCACTCATCATTCCCCCCACATTGATGTGCACATTTATTCATTTCATTTCCTATCAGAAGATGAACACACTCCTTCAACAATTATTTATTGAACACATGCAACATGCAAGGCAGTGTTGTAGACAGTGGGAATTATCAGTGGTGCAAAACAATGCAGTTAGGCATTGGTAGCTCTGGTCAACTGTTGACCAAGGAAGCAGAGCAAAATGTGTACTTCGTGTACGAGTGGGTGCTGGATTTTTTTTTTTTTTTGGAGACGGAGTTTCGCTCTTGTTACCCAGGCTGGAGTGCAATGGCACAATCTCGGCTCACCGCAACCTCTGCCTCCTGGGTTCAGGCAATTCTCCTGCCTCAGCCTCCTGAGTAGCTGGGATTACAGGCACGCGCCACCATGCCTAGCTAATTTTCTGTATTTTTAGTAGAGACGGGGTTTCACCATGTTGACCAGGATGGTCTCGATCTCTCGACCTCGTGATCTGCCCGCCTCGGCCTCCCAAAGTGCTGGGACTACAGGCTGGATTATTTGAAGCCTTGAAGTTGCGCTCTCTCTCTCTCTCTCTCTCTCTCTCTCTTTTTGAGACAGGGTCACGCTGTCACTCAGGCTGGAGTACAGTGGCACTTGCCCAGGCTGGAGTGCGGTGGCACAATCTCAGTTCACCACAGCTTCCACCTCCTGAGTTCAAGTGATTCTTGCGCTTCAGCCTCCCAAGTAGCTGGAATTGCAGACAGGTGTCACCACGCTTGGCTTTTTTTATTTTTAGAAGAGATGGGTGTTTGCCATGTTGGCCAGGCTGGTCTCAAACTCCTGGCTTCAAGTAATCTGCCTGCCTTCGCCTCCCAAGGTGCTGGGATTATAGGCATGAGCCACCTCACCCTGCCTTTTTTTTCTCTTACAGCCTTTCCCTCAGAGAGTTCATCTGTTCACATCTCACATCTCATCATGCTGGATATTCCCAAATCTATATTTCCAAATATCCAGGTCCATATTTTGAATTGATTTTATAAATACAATGTGGCAAACCCACACTAACCCTGTCCCTTTCAAATCAACTCTCTTTATTTTATTTTATTTTATTTTTCTGCATGTACAATGACACCCGGATTACTTCACACAGCAAGTTCTAAATCCTAGTCTTCTCTCCTCTTTCACTTCCTCGGTCAATGTATTGCCAAGATCTGTTGATTCTTATTTCACAGCATCTACAAACTTGACTTTTCCTCCCATCCCAAATCTACCATCCCTCCAAGAAGTCCAACCACCAATGGTCTCTTCCTTTTCTAAATTTGATATATACTCATTCATGTACCCACTAAATCATTTTTATGACTTTAATAAATATTTATTATATATTTTTGGTATGAAATGGTTTATCTGAGGTGCTGTAAATATTATAAAGATGACTAATAGGAAGTACTTCTGCTTAAATATTATATAATGGGGCTGGGTGCAGTGGCTCACACCTGTAATCCCAGCACTTTGGGAGGCCGAGGCGGGCAGATCACGAGGTCAAGAGATCCAAAACCATCCTGGCCAACACGGTGAAACCTCATCTCTACTAAAAATACAAAAATTAGCTGGGTGTGGTGGTATACGACTGTAGTCCCAGCTACTCAGGAGGCTGAGGCAGGAGAACTGCTTGAACCTGGGAGGCAGAGGTTGCAGTGAGCCAAGATTTCCACCACTGCACTCCAGCCTGTGACAGAGCAAGACTCCGTCTCAAAAAAAAAATCCGTATAATGAAGTTAATACCACAAATATGTAGAACTTCATTACATACATATATTCTCTCTACAGCTTAAAGTTGGGTAATACTAACTCCATTGACTAATCAGGTAATTATATTTTAATTACCCTGCTTGTAACACTGCCAGTAAAGGTAGGGACAAGCCCTCACCGAAAATAATGCTGAGTGAGAAACCAGCGAGTCCCCAGAATAATACCACTGCTGTGCTTGAAAGTTGCTGGGCTTTGTGCGTCCTAACAGTGGGGGACAAAGGTGATTAGAATGTGGACTCTGTGGTTTGCTCATCATGATGATGAAATCAAGAGTTTGATGTAATTGTACTTACAGCTATTAAAAATACATATTACCCTCCAGTATATGTAAAAATACATATAATAAAAATACATATTAAAAATACATATCTTCTCTTTGTTTAAACACTTGCATTTATACTTTTTGGATGAAGATAATTTCTGGGAAATTCAAGTCGCACATTAGAGCAGAGCCAACCAGACTTGATTGTACTCCAATATCGCTGGATGGGTTTGGACTAACTTTGTGTCCCAAAAGCAACTATTAGGTCCCTGAGGATGACCTATTGTTTTGTGCTTCCTACTGCAAATTGCCCATATCTGGACATTATATCATCTCCCTTCACATAATCTTACCCTCCTCCAACACAGTACAAACTCTGCTCTGGTTGTGCACAGCTCTCGGTGGTCCGTATGGCACTGATTTCAAACTGCTGCCCCTTCCCAGATTCCCTCCCGACCATTGTAATCCACTCATCTTATTCAGTTCTTCAAGAGCATCTCAGGGGACACTACCTCTATGCAGCCTTGCCAGTTTACCCCAAAATCAGATCTCCCTTTTCCAGCCATCTACAGCACAATTATTTTAAATCCCTTATTTCAATATTTTAGTACATTATCCCATGCCGCTTTCCACTTCTCACTCATGGGTTCCCATGCATAAATCCAGCTCCCTGAAATTAATGCAAATTCAAAGCAGAGACAAGACCATAGGAAGATCTTTTAATTGAGCTATTAATGTTTTCCCTGAATCTTACAATTGCACCTGCATTAGAATCAGATATATCAAGATTTTTTTACATAATATATATGCCATAAGACCAAGGTAACTAACACTACCTAATTTATTAGCTATGACTAATGATTTTTACTTAAAAGTAATTTCACAAGCTCTTCTCTAATTCTAATTTTATACATCCGACTGATAATTACAGCATATAAGGGAACTTCTCAGCAATTCTTTGTCAGGCTACTTTCAGAACTATTACCTTTCCCAGTGGCTACACACATTAGGGTCTTCCAGATTCAGAGGTGATGATGTCCCAATCCAGTGGCATAACAATAAACAAATAAAGCTCAGGAATGAGTTCAAAGAAATAACCATTTTTTTTTCTGAAGAACAACCTACGAGAAAAAAAAATCCAAATTAGAAATGCATTGAAGTGACTCACACAGAATTCTTCTCAGTACAGCAACCACCAGGTATCAGTCGGCACTGGGTACCGTATGTATTTCAATAGCTCGGTCACCAAATTAAATGGCCCAAGAGAGGGGTGTTTCTTATGTTGTGCAGGGTGGCCACTATTTTGTAAATTACTAAAATATGCAAATCATCATCAATTGCTACAAGAACAAAAGCCCTCCTCATCCATGCCAGTCAATACTAAAGAAATCTACCAGAACAATTCAGAGCAACACAGGCCTCTACATTCGCTCACTGGGCGTATTTCCCTTCTAGAAGAGGAGGTTACACAGAGATAGCTGGCCTCATTTGTCCTAGAAAATAAATGATAAAACAGAAGCTCCATTGAATCAAGAGAGAGGAACCTCGAGTTCAAACTGAGATTCATTCAATAAGTCATTCAATGTGCACTGAATGCCTGCTCCATCCTAGGTACCCCATGCAAAGGCTGGATATAAAATACAGAACCAGTCCCTATCTCTGCCCATTAAGATGCTTATAATTTAGTAGTCATACATTTCTTAAACACTGTGCTTCAGTTTCTCCATCTGCTGAATAGGAATGAAACCAACCATCTCACAGGGGTTTCTAAAAACTAGATTATACATAGAAAAATATACGTAAAGCGGTTTGCAGGTCAATGTTAGAGAAAATGAACCTAAAGACTGTAAAGGCAACATATTTGGAAGTTTGGAAAATAGATAAGCTGGCAAAAAAGACAGAAGAGGGTGAATGTTCCAGGCAGAGTGTGAGGGAGGGCCAGGTGCATTTAGGGAGTTCAAGTTAATTTGTGGCAAGAGAAAGGGGACAGCTGGAGAAAGAGACAGAGGGTGAGTCACCATGGGTTTCATAAGCCATTGTGCAGTAGGGAACTTCAACCAAGGATAACATGGAGCTATTAAAGGATGCAGAGTGGCATTAGAAGAATGACTCTAGCTGCGAGGGGAGGCTCTTGGAGGAAGGCCAGGTGAGACAGGACTATGGACAGATCAAGGCACAGGGGGTTGCAGGGAGTGGAGTAGCTCTGGGAGATTTTTAGGAAGCGGAATAAACAGGACTTGGAAATCGAACGTGGGAGTAAGGAAGGGGAGGAGCCTCTGGTTTATCCCCTTGTGAGGACTGTTAGCCCCTCACTGAGATGGGACTCATAGAAGCCCTCCTCTGGGGAGAGGAAGCTTTGAGTTCAGTTTTAGATGTGTCAAGTTGGGGGTTCCTCTGAGATCATCAAGCAAAGCCACCCACAGGCATTTATTGAACACGTACAATGTGCTAGGTAGGACCCGCGCCAGGCCCAGGTGTGTAACACCTGTAATGGTTTGCACCTGAGAACCACACCCACTCCTGTACCCTCTGGAACTTAGAAAGAAGTACAAGTTCAATTGTCATACTATGTCATCTAATCATTATAAAAATGGATACAAAATTAGAAATCACTGATCAATTTCTTAATTACATAAGAAATAAGCGATAATCTGCTTGTTGGTAAACTAGTGAAACTAGTAACAATGGTCTAGATTATTTGAGCAAAGCAGTGATTTTCTGGGTGGGAGCTGGCATTTTAAGAAGTTATACTCACTTTCCACACCAAGAAGTTTTTCATATTTGGGAACCAAATGTATTGAATAATAACTTTATGGTTTGAAAAGACAAATTTATCTTAAAACAATAGTAACAGCAAAAAAGTTAACATTAGGAAATAGTTTATCATTCAAATTCAGAAGGACAGATCAAACGAGAAAACATTAAATTCTTCAAAATCAAGATTGTTTAGAAGGACAAATACTTTAAGTATACTATAACAAGTTATCACTGACTGACAAAGGCTAAAACAAAAGAAAATGTTTGACTTGGAATAAAAAAAATAGTCATGAGTTTGTAGTATAATTAAAAAGTATTGTGTAAGCCATTAAAGAGGCTGTAAAATCTTAAAAAGGATATTTCAATGGCCACTAACTAATTCCAATGGACAAAGCATAAATAGCCAAAATTAACTTATAGATTAAATCAAGTTATTGGCATTTCTCACATGCTAACAATCATGAAGTTGTAAAATCTGAAGCTTAACATTTTATAAAGAAGCTATGTCATTTAACAGGGCTGAATAAAAATGATGATGATGACGATGATAATAAACAATAACAGCTAACATTCTCTGACCGATACTGTGTGCCAGACACAGCACTGAGCCATGTATGTGAATTATCTATGTAATTCTTACAGCAACTTAACCACGAAGTAGTAGTTTTTATTGTCACTGTTCTATAGTTGAAGCCATGTCATAAACACCCAGTGTTTTCCTCATCCATCAGAAAAATCTTTAATATATTTGGTTGTAACAAATAAGCATGGCAAATATCTCCTTGTCTCATTGCTTTATGTGAGGAGAAGTATTTCCTTTCAATGACGTGTGAAATGTGTTTAGCTTTCATTCTTTCCTCAAAGACATGAAGGCTGGTAAGCAGTAATCTGCCATCTACTCATAAACAATTACCCCAAATTAGAAAGTGTATTTCCTGAGTCATCTCAGACTCAAACCAACCATTTACCAATTAGAAATGTTTAGTCTGTAACGTTGAAATTGCCACAAGCCACGAATCAAAGTCCAAGAAAAAGTAAGAGGTTGTGAGTTTTCCTTTAATGTAAAAATGTAGACACTAATCTGTTTCTCCTCTTGCTTGGCACTTGATGCATTGCCCTGTGAAGGGGAGGTGACAGAGAAAAAGCAGAATTTGGTCACCTTCTCATTGCTTTGGAAGTTCATTATACAGAAATATCAAACTGCAATGAGAAGTCACAGGTACCATTTTGAAAGAAAAAATATCATTACATTAAAAAACGTATGTGTGTATGCATTACTTGGTCTCTTTGTCCCAATATATTTTCCTAATTAAAATTAGAAAATTAACTGAGCTCTAGAATAATCTGCAAAATCTAAAAGAATTGTTTGATCAAGAGGCAAGGATCGTGCAAATTCACATAAGTTGGTTAAAATTGTTTGAGAAAATAACACAGAGGTTATAGATGGTGAGGAGAGAAGACATCTCGCAAGTATGCCAATAAGCTGTAGAGAACTGAGAAACACATTTCTGCAAATTAGGAAACATGGATTGTCCTTTCATTCCATCTTGTTTAATAAAGTCACTGAGATGCAATTAAAATCAGAAGTTGATAGGACATTTAGGTCAGGTGTGGTGGCTCACACCTGTAATCCCAGCACTTTGGGAGGCCAAGGAGTTTGAGACCACCCTGGCCAACATGGCGAAATCCCATCTCTACTAAAAAATACAAGAAATTAGCCAGGCACGGTGACAGGTGCCTGTAATCCCAGCTACTTGGGAATCTGAGGCAGGAGAATTGCTTGAACCTGGGAGGTGGAGGCTGCAATGAGCCAAGATCGTGCCATTGTATTCCAATCTGGGCAACAGAAGTGAAACTCCATCTCAAAAAAATAAAAGAAAAGAAAAAGAAAAAAGAAGTTGAAAGGGCATTCATTTACTCTTTCCCTGTCTTCTTTGTTTTCTTCTATAGGTTTCGGTGAGTAAATGTGGTGACTACCCTTTTTCCACTACACCTACTCTGAAGAAGGAAAGTAGTACATTTATTATTCCTCATTTCTTTCTTCTATGCGGTGTCATTCCGTCTTATAATTTTCCACTTTGGAGTGCAAATGAACACAAAATGAAAATTTTTTAAAATAGTATTATTTCAATTGAAAACAAAGGCTATGCGGTGGTGATTTGTTTCATTAAGATAGACATTTTGAATATATTCATATATCTAAATTGGCTGTTGGCTACCCTCACCCACTCAGACTTCCTCTTCAAATAACTTTCCTTATGATTCCAGTTAACAAAATTTAAAATGTAAAAAAATAAAGTCATTTGCATGAACCCCCTAGTGCCAAACTTGATTGCATTCCAGATCATTCACTTAATTATTATGGAAAAATCAAAACAAAATCAGTACAAGTGATTAGCATTGCTAAAGTGCTCCCATTAGAAAGAGAAACTCAGCCCGCAGAGTTAACTCTTGCTGCCTATTTTGCAGCTTCACTTGGAAGGCAAGCTTTGCTTATTCTACAACAAAAGGCTCAATAAATAATCAGGATGAATAAAATCCTTACAATGGATGAGTCTTACTTCTGATGATAAGCAGTAGTTTCTTTATCATTGAGTTAAAGAGAAATAAATAATAGGGCGCTGACTTACTAATTTATTTTTGCAACCACAGAGGGGAAAATGATTCCAGATGATTCCTTTTGGCTCCAAAATCTATTTTCTTCCTAGAATCAATTAAGTGCACACATAGAAATAACTTGGATACCCTCAACCAGCTTTTTCTCAAGCTCATTTTTACTCCTAAGATCCTTCACATATCTGTAAATTAAATTAAAACAAATTTCTTGATTAAGAATACCCACTTTTCAACAAGAGCCATCCATTTCACTTGACCACTCTGTCATGTTATCTATAAAGGATGTACTCACTCCTCCTCAAACTACTCAGAAAGGCCGGCAGAGGCAGTGTGCTATGTTCTTCCTGGAGCTTTGAAGCCATGAACAAAGAAGCAATGGTCCAGCTTCAGCACATTAAAGATGTAGAATGAGTGATGCTTGCTGGTTACCCTGAGAACAATCTCAGATAAGGACTTCCATGGAAATACTACTTTGCTGATGAAAGGAATCCTTAAGGTGTTAGCATGACTTCTCTGTTCATTAATCAAGGATAGTTATTCCGATAACATATTATATTATCGAGGACTGACTATTCATTTCAAACAGTACAAGTGCTATATTTACTTTGTTTCAAGGGCCTCATGTCATTTTGCTAACACCAAACCCACAACAAACATATTCTAAATCAAATTAAATCATGTAATGGCAAGAACAGAGTATTACTGGGAAGTTTTTATGTTAAATGAGTGTGCCTACCAGCATTAATGG